CTTTTGGGGAATTTTTCCTAGGTGATCCTTTCCTGGGCGAGCTCAGCTTTCCCTTCTTCTGTTCAGGTTTCATGATGCCCTCAAGTTTGGCGAACTCTGCCTCCGTTTCTTCTAAATTAATGTACGTCTTGCATCTCTTAAGCACCTCATCGTAAGTTCGAGCAGGCGTCTTTGCCAGCGACGTTCGACATGGTCCTGGCCGTAAACTTCTGATCAATCCTCCTGCTTTTACCTCGTCGCCCACCGTAGGCACCTCTAGACACATCTGATTATATCGAGCAATAAATTTCTGTAAGGTTTCTCTCTCTCCTTGTCGCATCGCCATCAGTGTAAGGTATGTCTTCTCCTGTGAGACCGCACTTGAGTATTGATTAGTAAGCTGTCCTGCGAAATCCTCAAAGTCTCTGGTCGAACCTGGAGCTAATTGGTGGAACCAGTCGAGCGCCCCTCCCCGTAAGGTCGACAGGAAAGCCCTGCAGCTGACTGGATCTGAATACCCGTGCAAGACGGACATGTTTTCAAACGCTCTTACATGCCTCGACGGGTCACTCGATCCATCAAAAATCAAGTTTATCTCCCGGAAACTCGCAGGAAGCGACGCAGCCAAGATTTCCCTCGAGAATGGGTGCCCTCGAGCACGTCTTTCTGGCCGTCCTTCCACCTTTTCTTGCAACTGCCGGAGCTGCTCGGCCATCCTCTCCATCGCTCTATCTCTGGGCTCTCCTCCTCCGCCGTAACTCGACACGTCCTCCTCTTGCGTCCCCTGTATCGTTGTCGGCGCGGTGGCGGCTTGGGATGTCAGGTGAGTGGCTTGTTGCACATCCTATGCCGCCGCGTCGGCCACCATCCTCTGCACCTCTTCTCTCGTCATGGCCACCACTTGTTGAGCAGGGGGTTGTGGTGCTTCTCCTGTTGGCGGCATCATGGTTTGCACTGTTGGCCCCACTTGTTGCGTCACGACCGGGCCTGCTTGCAACGGAGCGAGGACTGCCGTGGGTACCGCTTCACGAGCTTCGTGCTCTCTGCTTGTGCCTGCTCCCCCACTCGGAATCGCTGCACCCTGAGGCATCGGTGTCGGGGTCACCGGTGTTTGCGAGGGTCCGGAGAATCCAGGTGGTGGGCCTACTCCCATCGGCCTTGTCGTCGCCCACGCTTCGTCGAACGACGACTGTAGATTCATTCGAGGAACTTCGTCCGCCATAGCTGAGCTCAGAACACAACTTTTCGAACGATGTCCCCACAGACGGCGCCAATAATACAAGTCTCGCACCCTGACCGGCTGGAAATCGCTTCAAGACCGCTCTCCTCGCCGGTTGAACACGGAACCTGCACAAAACTCTCACACCGGAGGTGTTTTCCGGTGAAGAGCCTCCAACGCTCAAGTCAGATCTCGAGCGACGATATCGATGTATGAAAAAGTATAAGAGTATGTCAGATTGTACCGAAAATGAGGATTCTCACCCTTATTTATAAGGGCAAGTTACCTGAGCTGCACGCGCGAGCAAGGCGAGTTCGGCCAACTGTCCTCTGCTCGTCCGTACAACCGCGCGCCTCCACTATCCTTGATGTCAGGAAACACGTCGTCTTTGTCAGAGAATGTCAGAGTTTGTTACGGCTGTTAACCACTCATGTTCTGCCGCTTGTCCTCCCTTTCACGTGCTAAAGATTCTCCGGTGTGCTCCGATACTCGACCAGTTCTACACGACCACGTCCTCTTTTGTCGTCCTTCCTTGACCAACTCCTCGAGTGACTCATGCCTGTCGACCCACTCTAATCTTCTTAATTCCTTCTATTTACTCTCTGTTTTTCACAGCAGATGTCTGGTCTTGATCGACCGTATTGTTCGACCCGTTCTTGCTTAGGTAATCCGACGAACCGGCTTATCTTCCTTGATTGGCCTTGCGAACCGGTCTAATATATAATATCCCATATCAGTATTCACAACTGAGATAGTTATGGACATGACTATCGGTTTAGGTTGTAGTATAAACTGGATATAGCTTGTCTTGGCTATTGGTTTATACTAGTGCGCTGCGTCGCATTGGATGGATCACAGTTGAGACGTGTTCTTCTGTTCTGACTATCATGAAGAACCTAGGTCTCGGTAACTCTACTAATTCTTTACCCTAATTGTGATACTTAGATATGTGGGATATTTGTTTGTTACTTTGATTTACTGTAACACCCCACTTTGATTTTACAGAAATTCTGACCTTTCCAAAAATCAATATAAAATTTTCGAGATCATTTTCGAAATTCAATGTGTGTTAAACAACATTTTCATAACCCAAGTCTTATCTGGGCCCACGGAAATTCATTACCCATTTTTTTTTTTCACAAATGGTTTTCATTAACCAAAACATATCACGAGACATAATCCTCAACATGAATATTTAAACCAAACCATCATACCCAATCATCAAGGGTTCCACAAGTTTCCCAAAAACAAACAAGTCATAATTTTTGGAAAGAGGTTTAAACAAGTCTCCACATAAAGGTCCATAAAAGCCTTATTTATTCTACGAAAGCATAAAAAGCATAATGAAATGACCGACCCACTCGCCTCTTCTCGTCACCCTGCTCCTGCTTAACCTGCATCGGTGAAGAGCAGGTGGGGATGAGCACAAGATGAAAAACGTGCACACCACTATGCACATAGATCACAACATAAATAATGTAGAGGAGGTATGGTTACAGTATGAACATAAAACAATTATTCTGTCACGTCTCCTAATCACATCACAACATAATACCCACGTGTACACATCTTTCATTAGCCAAGGAAAGGGGATTCATTACCCTAACTCATGGGGGTATGTGCCATACGACAAGGCACGACCTTTCATTAGGTCTTACGGAGACTTACCTCGCAAGGTAACCGTATTACATCGACGGGGACAACCGTACCGACGGCCGAATCGGCTCACGCCGATAGGCTACATGGTTTACGTACATACTAAAATCATACTAAATCAACATTATAATAAACACATACGGCATAGCAAATTTTAGATTAAAACCCACCTGGATAATTTAGCAGAAAAGTACTTGCAAAGCAGTGTAGGTTGAGATCTCGACTCGCCAGAAACCTACATTTTTATCAAGTTTCATAAATACACTACCTTGATACTTAGAAATAATTACGAGAAATCATACTTAGTCGAACATTATCGACTAAGTAATTCATGGAATTTTGTGGACTGGAACTCTCAGGGGATTAGAAATAATACTCAAAATAGTGGTTACGAGGTTAAAATTATTGTTCGGCTAAAAAACATGTCGAACGGCTCAAAAACGGACAATTGGAAACATAAAAAAGTTAAGTAGCCGGAAAATGGGTAACTCTATATGCGCAGCGATTTTATTTTGAATATAACTTTTGGTAGAAAACTCGAATCCAAGTGGTTCTTTTTCCAAAACAATTTAAAGACATAGAACTAAAACTTTTATGAAGACATCAAGCACATTCGAACAAGTTAAAGGGCTGAAAACAACTCAAATTTATACAACAAAACTTCTGTCTTTTTTTTTTTGTTTTTTGAAAAATTGGTTGCGGGACAATCATATTTCGAACGTATCTTTTTGTATAAAAACGATATTTGAATGAATCTTGTTGCATTTGAAACTTAAGAAATAACACAACAAATCATATGAAGACATCAAGATTCCCAGGTCACCCGAAGTAGGCCAAAAAAAGTAAAAATGACAGACTCATACCTCTGCGATTAAAACAAAAAAACTGACTGCGCAATGTTAGAATTTTCGACACAATTTTCAATATAAAAATGATAAATACTCGATTCTTTTTCCTCATGAAAGATAATATGTTGAACTACATTTTATGAGAAGAACTCAAAAAGATACGTTGAGGTTTCAGTGCTCAAAAATAGCCATGAAAACCAATCACATACAAGACCGGAAAACCAGAAAAACTGACGCACAACTGACAAACTTTGGCCATAACTTTTAGCATGAAATTGATATTCACTCGATTCTTGTTGGAGATGAAACATAACCGACTGAACTACAAATCACTAGAAGAGTTTGAAAACATTTAACCGAGTTTCAGGGGTCAAAACAGCTACCAAACACCCATCAGCGAAAGGTTTCAAAATGGGGTTTTCAAACTCAATTCTTAAACGAATATCAAACGGCTCTGTTAACAAATCGAGACTCACACTTTTTTTCTGTACGCCCCTTGAGCACGCCCCCAATCTCTGTAACCCTATCTACGATCACCGTCGATTAGCGTCTCCCTCAGCGTCCATCCAGCTTGCCGGAGGATAGCCCACCGTCGCGCGTCTTCTCTACAGTCTTGGTGCTTCTCCACCTTGTTCTCTCTGTCTGTGGGGCGAGGATGGCAATTTTTGGCGGATTTTTCGTGTCTGACGACCACCGGAGCTTCCAGGGAGGCGAGGCTTGGTGGATTGCTGCAACGTGGATAGATGCGGCTCTTTTTGTCTGCTTCCCTTGTTCTGGTTCCCTTGTCCGGTGCTTCTCGACAGCCGTGGCTTCCTCTCAGGTTCTCTGGTCGCCAGTGTCTTGGAGCAGCAGCGGGATGGTTGTGGTCTGTCCTCGAGGGCTGGGCGAGATGGTTGAGTTTGAGCTTGAGTTGGAGAGCCTCTTTTGGTCGGGTTGGCAGGACGCCCGGTGGTGGAGTTTCAGCTTTGGCCGATTTCTGGTCTCATTTGTTTCCTCGATTTGCTAAGGTGTTGGGTTGGGCTGCGTCCGTGTATCCCGGGTGAATGTGTGGTGTCTCCGGGCTGAGGTTGTCTCTTTGGGCGAGGTTGGAGCAGCTGAGCTCTGAAATTGTTCACCCCCTTCCTCCTATTTCTCGGCTCCGAGTTGTGGGAGGTCGTTTGTTTCCGGAATTGGCTAGTGGTGTTAGGAAATTTTGGGACGGTTTTGGATTGGCTAGTGGTGTTAGCCAGTTGGGGGGAGTCTGTGAATTCTTATGACGGTGTGCGGGCTGATTTCTCAGTGGCGAGCAGTGGCGAGCGGGGTACTTGAGCTTCGGAGCTCTCCTTTGTATTGGTTTCGTCTTCCGTCTCTTCGAATGCAGCTGCTGAGGGAGGATTTAACTGTCTTTTGTTAGTAGTTTTTGTTGTTTTGTTGTTAGTTCATGTTTTGTGTTTCTGTGTTTTAGGTTTGGGTCATTTGGCCCCTGTGCGCCTGAGTGTCACCTTTATTACCCTATTTGGGTCCGACACTCGGTATTACCCTATTGGGGTCTTTGTATTGTTTGTTGTGTTTTTTGTAGTGTTTGTAAGTATTACCCCTTTGGGGTCGTGGTCGTGTAATCGGTCTGTTTAGTTCGAGTTTTTATTCTAGTGTTGCTAGCGGGATTCTAGGCGGGCTTCTGACATGTCCTCCCATTTTATTCTCCTGTTGGGAGCCTTGTATTTTTATTCGCACATTTGTACGCTTTTGACTTATAAATAGTACCTCTATCGTTTTGAAAAAAAAAAAACAAATCGAGACTCTAATATTCGACCGAAATCAGCAGCAAACAAGAAAAGGAGAGGGCTCAATAACACAACAAGAGAGTTCCAATATCCACGGCACATACACGAATTTATAATAAGATCTCGCATGATCTCACATATATCAACATGATTATTACATTAAACAAATTATATATATAAACCCTCATCATCAAACTCTAACTTACTACAAAACACAAAAATAACGAAAGGGTGATCGAGTCTCGGTACCGTTCTCGGGATTAACACACGAC